CCCAATTGCATATTGACACTCTCTCATGATTCTTCTGGCACCTCAAGAATCACTTGATCTGAAACAACAGTGACATTGGAGACCTTGTTGTACTGATGTATGCATTGTGTGTACGTCAAGACTGGCATAATCACCTCAAACATGATGAAGGCTTCAACATCGGCAATATCAACAAGAATCTGATTTGGGCGATCAATGAGGAATTCTGGAACAAAATCTGATCCCAATCTTGGCTCAATGTATGTTTCAATTCAAACTGTCAGACAGATAGACATACTAAACTGCATTCATCCATATTACACCCCCCCTTTCAAACACACTTACCTTGAACAACCAACTTATTTATCTCAGCTCTGCCCATGATGACACTTTCATGAATGCCCATAACAACCACATGGATGCCCACAACCCACATGGATGCCTGTGCCCACCTCCACACGGTTGCTCATACACATGCTGTAGATGCCCACACCCACAACATAAATGACCGCCAACTACCTGCCAATCCACAGACCATGAGCAGAGACCCTCCGGTAAACCAACACTGCAGGTCCTGCTATCACAACTCATACAGCAGCACCCATGATCTTCTCAGCCAGAACCCATGCTCCTGTTTCTGCCATGAAGAACAGAGTGTTACAATAACATTTACTCCTATTTCATTTTTCTTTTCTCGTAACCATGCCGCCGACTCTAGACTCATCTAGACCCGGCTATTCTCTTATCAAGCGGGCTGTCCGCACTTCTCTTCTATCTTGATTGTAACATAGATACTATCTTGCGCTGCATGGCGGTTTCACCTATCTTTGCTATCTTGATAGGTTGTACTCTTTTCCTATCTTTGTTACCTTTCTTGTCGCGGCTACGCCGCTTCCTTTTACCTATATAAACCCCATGTACCATAGATGTATTCCTTAACTTAATCTACTGGGTTTTCCCCTTGAAACCTGATCTACTAAGGTCTCCACCCTTAGTAGCCTGAACTCTGATTCTAAGGCAGTCACTCACTGTCTTAGCCTGAAACCCTTGATTGCGGTAGAAGTGCTAAAACCACTCGCCGCTGATCCTGCATAGAAGCCGCGGCTCGTGCAGTAGGAACCACCAGAAACCTTCCTTGTATTAGGAAGGCCGACGAACTGTTCGCCCGACAGGTCTATCTTGACCGGCAACAGCAGAACTATCCCAGTCGTAACACAGAGAACCAAAAGGAGTCAAGGACCACTTCACTAGATAAAAATCACAACCACAATCAGTACCACAGGGGTTTTTCTTAGGGCACAGGCTCACATAGCCTATCTGCCTGCGCCCTTTGTCTCGGCCATTTCTCACATGACATCAGACACTGCGAATCCTATCACCTATGGGACGGAGCCAACACTCACTGTCGACAGGCAAAAGATGGATGGCTCATCAACCCCAAAGGCCTACCCCTCTACCACAAATGGCAATGCCCAGGAAGTTGTCAAGAGACAAATCATGACACCTTACATGAATGCTCCAGCTGTAGAGGCAAGGAATACAGAGCCCAAACTTGCCCTTGCAGCGAGAAGGCTTAGAGCTCACACACCTTATAACACGGAAGCTTTGCTCTGCCTATTAGTTGAATCAGACCTCCTCTGCAGATACTCATCCATCCCAGAAGGACTCATATAAGGTTTCTCAGGTGGGATACCCCCAATTACATGTACATACTCACCAAACACGACCAGATAGATCACTGAAAGAGTTCAATGAAGATACCCACTTCCCCATCCGGAACTTGTCAGCACAATCACCATGATTGGTCAAAGACAGCCAATTTACATACAGCATGGAAGACATCTCGTCCAAGATGGACACGATATGGGAGATGTCGAAAGATGAACCCTTTAGCAACGAGCCCCCATACAGTGGCCTTGCATGGAACATTGAAGACCAGATAGTTGCCTTATCCAAAAAAAAGTGCATCAAATACTCCAAGGCTGTCCGATCTTGGCAATTGAGCAGAACACACACACTGCAAGAAGTCCAGAAACTCTACAGTAAACTCCTCCACACATGCCTCATCAAGCCAGAAGGCCATGCTTACCTCTCAACCCTGGAAAAAATACTGGAAATTTTCAAAGACTACCCACACATGGCACAAACTCCCCACGTAGCACTGCAAGCAACATTAGATGGTGGGAAGGACTTCTCAGTTCCCCCCATGTCATCTCCCCAATCCCAGGTCCATGCATCATTATCGATTTTCTTGCCTACTCAGACGCTAGTTCTGGCCATAGCATTGGCATTACTATCAATGGAAAAATAGCGTGCATAGAAACTCTCATCAGGCTGGAAGAAAGATGGCTGGGATATTGGATGGGTGGAGAGCATTAGATTTGAACTCCTTGTGTAGACAATCATGAGTGCTTGTACCACTGGCACTTATTTCAAAGTCTATGGAGATAACCGTGGCGTCATTAAGGGATGGTGGAAAGGATGCAACAAGAACCAAGCCTGCAATAAAGTCTTCAAGTGGATTCATCAGGTCACTTCCAGTACCAAGTACTGGATTCTTACTAGGTATATACCAAGCAAAGAGAATCCCACAGATGACCCATCCCACAGGATATATCCCCCCAAATTTGAATGCCTCCCTCTTATCCCAATTCCCTCAGAACTCCACCTCTTCCTTACAATTCATCATACACACAACCCACCCTCAAATCCTGACACTCATGTCATTGCCTCAAGCCCCACCTCCAACAAATTACTTCACACAATGGGAGACAAACACGAGAGACAAGAATGTGAGTGGTGCATTTGCATCAACCGTGAATTTAAAGTCAGAGGAACAGAACTCCTCCAAGCATGGCAAAGCTAGTAAGCACCACACTACAGAGCATGACCCACTAACCTTACAGCAAACAATCCAGCATATAGCCCCAGCCTAACCCCCATGTCATCACACCTGCACCTGCACTGTCCAGCAAAAGACAGGCTCTACCTGTGGCACCCAACAACAACACGTGCTGCAAAAGATGCTCAAGGAAACCACTCGATCGAAGCAATGCTGAAGGCAGCCACATCACTCACTCCCGCATCTGCAAAATGCAACAAGTGCAAACCATACACCATAGACCTCATTATCGCCATTCATGAGAAGCTCAAACTCAACAAACCCTTAGATGCAGCAGTGTTTGCTTGCCTAACAACTGTTTTCTATGCAACAGCCAGAGTAGGTGAATTCACCATTCCGCATCTCAGTGCATTCAATGCAAACACACACATCTCACTCAAAAACATCAAGGACACACAAGACTGGCAGAACCTTGTGACCAAAAACTTCCACCTGCCACAGACAAAATCAGCTCTGAAAGGCAAAGATGTGCACTGGGCAAAGCAAGCAGGTTTATCTGATTCTGAAGAAGTGTTCCTAAACCATTTGCAAATCAACAAACCTCCCCCCAAGTTTACACTATTTGTATACCATCACAAGAACAACACCCACCACTCACTCACAAAGTCAAAGTTTCTTGGAAGGTTAGCAGCAGCAATGAAAGCCGCAGGCTGCAAGCCCTTACAAGGGTATGGAATACAAATTGGGTCAACCCTAGAGTATCTCCTGCACAATGTCCCCTTCAACATAATCAAAGTCAAAGGGTGCTGTGTGAGTGACATGTTCCTTATTTACCTAAGGAGACATGCGCAGATTATGGTACCATACATACAGGCCGTCCCCATACTGCATGACCAATTCCTATGGTACACCATACCCCCAGTTCGCCAGAACACACAAACCTAAATAGAGAAAACTTGTGAGTAATCCGTCCACCTCCTAAAAATTGGGAATTTGAGTATTGCTAAATGTGTTGCCGAACTCCTAACACTCAGGAATTGCAGCTCAACTTTCTTTCTATCTAGGTTTCCTTCCTTGAGGCTGGAAAGCACTGCGCGCCTTTGCCCAAAAACCCCTGCTGTCTTTGACATCCACAGCTGGTATTGCTGTAGTCAGTAAAATTGCAGAGCAATACAACCCCCATTACCATCCTGCAATGCTGTGAATCTCAAAGACATCCTCTTAGTGACAACAATGAAGATTGGACATTTTTCTATATTAACATGTGAGTTTTTATTTCTATCACTAGTACTGCTTCTTATAGAATGATGGTCAGGTTTGTCAATTGAGATATGATAATGCACTTCCACAGAGGTGGAGTGGAGCACAAATCTATGCAGAAAGCCACAGACTGGTTTCTATCTGACCATGACAAGCTGGATGAAGAAGGGGACAAGGACAAGGACAAGGACAAGGACAAGGAGCTGAATGGAGCAATAGAGGATATTGGTATTGAAGGTACAGCGCTTGATTTGGATGAGGATGTAGATAAGGATGAGATCAAAGAATATGGATATGAGGGCATCGAGGAGATCAAGGAAGGTGATGAGGATGAGGATGAAGAGCAGTCAGATGGAGAGGATGGTCAAGTAATAGATGGTGCAGGTCTAGGGGCAGAGGATGAAGAGGACAACAAGGATGATGACAATGGCTATGCCAAGCTTTGAAAGTTGCTATCTAATGTAGGAGCATGCTCTATGATACCCTTTGCCATGCCCTTGAGGCCAGACTTGCATGCAATCAAAAATATTCTACTCCCATTGTAAGGTGCATCTCAGACTGGCAGAGTCATGCAAACAGTCTCAATTATTTCATGCTGAATAAATGTGCATACAATGTGCATAGCAGGTTGACAGCAAGATAGAATCATTAAATTCCCATATATGCTCATTAATAATGGCGCTCAAGGCGATTTCCTGAAATCTCAGTAAGCTTGGTAAAGCTTGGTAAAGATGCCCTGCTGGTAATTAACATAAGGCTTAATTTTCTCTGAAGTTGGCTTACTCAACTATGGTTTACACCAGCATAGTGTTGGAGCTTAAAATATATGCCTGCCCTACGACCATGACTACGTCATTCTGCATGACTGTAGGACACACAGAATGTCTCTCCAATCCACTGCCCAATCAAGCAAAAGGTCATGAATCCCCCTCTAGTCCCACACTCCAACAGTGGGAAAGGAAAGTCCAAGCATTCTAAAGAAGATACCACCGAGTCAAGCATCAGTTGGCAGGCGGATCTCCAACATACCAAGAAGGTGATTGATTTCCTCATCAACAATCCAGCAGATTGTCGCATTCTATTCTCTAGTGAGGGGAAAAAACCTACCAATCCTAATATTGAGGGTCCTCCATCAGGCACAGACAAGAATGTCATTCATGCAGTAATAGCAGGTGTAATCTTTAGTGGTGACAATGTATATGCAGATCAATATGCTGCCAATTGCATCAGGTTTCGTGACTCTGTGGGTAACCATATAACAATGTAAGGATTCCTTCAATTATCAGATTGTAGATGTCGATCAAATTATTTGAAGTCTCTGGAATAAATTCTGTGACTACCACAATGAGTTTGAATCAACTGGTGCAGAGATTGTGCCCTTTAATGTGGGTACTGCAGAAAATCTACATGGTGAGTCTGTTACTTGTGTTTATTCAATTCTACTAATAAAATTCACAGTCAAAGTCAAGAAAGACTTCCCATGGTATGACGATCTCTATAAAATCTGGGGCTCCAACCCATCATTTGCTGCCAAAACAACTTCATTAAAGCCAGGCTCTGACTACATGGGTGATCCTTTTGCCCTCACCCATCCTGGGGGCAACACTGTTTGCTCCCCCTGCAATATAACATCCCTTCCATCAGTGGTAATGCTGGTAGTGGAACAGCCATCCTACAATTTAACTACCCTCCTCCTCCACATCCTCCACCTCCACAGTTTGCCTCCTATCAATTTGATGTCACCCTTCCTCACCAAAGTGATCAACCAGGCAGCATTGCTGGTTCTCACTCACAGTGGAATTACAATATCTCTCCCCAAAGCACCCACCACAGTGGTATTCCCACTCCTCAATTCAACTTTGCCCCCCTCGCAGAAAATACTTCTGGGTCTATGCAGCACTGGAATTATGGCCTCCCTCCCCAAGGTGGCTATGCTGGTGGTGTCACTGGTTCTCTCCCCACTCTCCAATTTAACTTTGTCCCCCCTCAACAGAATGTTCCACCGAGTAGCACTTCAGGCTCCCCATAACACTGGGATTATGGTTTTTTCCAAAGCCGCAACCAATACTCTACAAGCCCTCCAGCTCTTTCAAGCTCTACTAAAATGGACAACAATGATAATAACCCCCTCGCTGATGAGATGAAAGACCTGTGTATGGATGAGTCAGTCAGTCATTGTGACATCATTTTGGACAGCCCACCAAACTCCAACCATCACACCAAGAAACACCAGCAGCCTTCATCTTCTCCAACTCCATCCCCCCCTCCCTCATTTGTTGCTCCACAGAAGCCCTGCACCTCTACCCACAATGGTTGTGGTTCCTTCAAATCTCATGCTAGTCAGCTCATAGTATATGAGGGTACTACTAACAGTACCCCTTCTGTTACATCCTCAAATAATTCCCGCAGCTCATTGGGACATGGACACACTGGCAAGCAAAGCTCATCAGTTCAACACTCGCCAACTTCACAAACATCTGTTTCAGCCAAATCAAAAGGCAAGGACCCAATGTCAAAATGTATCTGGTCAGAAATTCAAGAACAAGTTGAGATGTTGAACAACAACTTGGATAGTATACACTCTGAGAAGGTCTCATTGTATCAGCTCAAGAATGAGTGACTGATAGTGAAGATAAATTCTAACCACCAGCAGAAGGAGCACAATTTCATTCGCGAGGAGCAAGCCAATGAGTGTGCAGATGCCGCTATTGTCCATCAACACATGAAGGAGGCCAAGGAGGTGGAGATTTGCCTGTGTGAAGCAGAAGCTAAGGCTCTTAAAATAGAGAGGGATGTGATATGCCTTCGGATCAAGTATGCCAAGCTCAATTCTGGCTGTTCTTGCTCTCCCAGGGCTTCAATTTGTATGTTCGTTTACTCATTTTCATTGCTATTTGTACTTCCAGCTTGCTCATTTGTTTTTTTGTGTCTCACACTTGCATTTGTCTTGTTCTTGCACATTTTTGTATGTCTGGCACTGTCTTTCATTGTTACTTGCTATGTCTATGTACTACAATTGTTACTGTTTTGAGTCATTCATCTTGTGCACTCACCCTTCACGATGTTGAGCATCTGAATAAGGGCTGTCAAGCAACTAATCCATGAGCCATGCCCTACATGCTTGACCTGGGGTACCCTCATATGATCTATCACCTTTCACTTCGTCACCATCCCCTCCTTCAAACTCACAGCGCAGAGTATGCCGCCCCTCTTTGATAGCCCAACTGATTGTCGAGTGTCTGTGCTGTGCCTCGAAGCGGATGATCATATTGTGAAGTATCAGGCAACACCTGACCCAGTGAAGATTGATTTGAAGGTCCTTTTGATTCTGCATTAGGTGACAAAGTTCTTTGAGTGATTGGAAGTGTCCTTTCAAAGCGGCAAATGCGTGCTCGACACGAATGTGAATCTAAACCGATTGAAAGTTAGTAAATATTCTAACAAACAGAAAAATGGACAGATACACAAGAGAGGTTGACATTGAAGGACTTTTGATTCTTTGTCAAGCAGCCATTCCGCAGTGAAGGTGAATCAACTCAGCTGTTGGTCAAATGATGAATCAAGGGGAGGGACACAAGAAGCTGATATAATGATCTAGTGTGATGCCCAGTCTGCTATGCTTGCAGGGATAAGTGCATTCAATCCAAGGGGAAGCAAGGAAGACAAATCCACAGTTGTGCAGCAGCTGTGCAAGGCGAGCAATGTAAGTGGGAAGCATGGGAATGCAAAATGCAAAAGTGCGAAAATGCAAAATAAGACTAGCTATAGATGAGGGCTCAATGAATGACAACTAAAAGAACTGCTAATAGATTCTAACTCTAGCTATGGACATGATGGAGAACTCCACTAAGATAAGGAGTGCTGTAGTAAAGGGTGAAAAATGCGGACCTATATATGTATCTCGCTAAGTGAGCCAAGTAGGAGATAATGTATGTAATAAGGTATGTAAGTTAGGGTCCATGCTCTAATATGGTGCCATTTTGATAAAAATGTGGAAATACGTACTAGTGAGACTTGCTGGACAGTGGATGGATGCTCCTGGATGATAGGGCGATGAAAGCATGGGAAAGCGAGCGATGCAAGGGTATCATGAGGCACGGGAAAGTCATGTGATGTGGGAAAGTGTCGCCTAGTATGGAAATAGCTTGGGAAAGGTCAGGGAATGATGCTGTGAGTTGGTGCTGTGAACCTGGGTGGTATGGACTGAAGTATTATGTGTTGCAGGCCTATAATTATGTGAATCTCTACAGCAGCTTCTTGAAGGGAGGAATACACCATTTCTTGAGCACATAAGCACTATTAGCCCAGATCCAGTGGTCATCCTGAAGAAGGGCATTGTGTTCTTGATAAATGTGTGTTGATTTGAATGTGTATGTGTCATGTGTGCTTCCAGGATGACCAACGAAATAGCCAACAATAAGCAAGTTATGAGGCATGATAACACCCTAAAATGTTCATTAAATTTCATACTATTAAAATAAGAGGAAAAGATACCTGACAATTGAGAGAATAATTTGATTTCCTATCATAAAATGCTTCACCATAAAGACCGGGCTTTTCATATAGATTAATTATGGGGCCATCGACTGCAAAGATTCCATTTCTCCACTCAAGACATGATTTTGCCTCAACAAATTTGCATGCATGCTCTGCATCATCAGAGTCAAGAGTGGGGAAGGTAATAAACATATCATGGAGATCAAGAATGGCGACCATGACACAATTGCTGCAATTAATTACCGAGCCAACACTAACACCAGCCCACTGAGCCACATCTTCCGGAGATACAGTGTTACCATAGTGGCCAACACGATTAAGAAATATTGTGAGTTGGACCACAATGGGGAGCTGCACATTGTTTGAACAATTGGTGAAAATGGCATGCCCAGAAATTTGATCTAGGATGTCATCAAATATATCTGGATTGATGTGAAGCTTCTTGCAGAACATGTGAGGTCGAAAGTCCCTGAAATTGTGAAGGAGTTGTATTTGGAGGGCTCTCATGGGAGGTGTGTTTGGTTGATGAAGGACATGCACCCTGATGACCTCATCACGAAAGGAAGCAATGGTGTTGTTCAGACGGTCATAATGTGCGGCGAAGTGGTCAGATTCATCGCTGACAGAGGAGAAGTTATCAGAACTGTCAGAGAAAAATGGGGTAGGAGGCAACGGAGGTGTGATTATTGTGTCAAAGGAATCATCTGAATCTGAGTCATCAGAATCAGAATCGGAGAGGTCATAACTTCTGATTGCATGCTGAAGCCTTGCCTTTTTCAAGGCTAGTTGTGCCTTGTCCAGCTCATTCAGGAGCTCATTGCATAGGGAGTGATGGGGCATGGTGATAAGATCTTATTTTGGGCTCCTATGCAATGCTGGAGTGGCATGTGTTTTTAGATTCCAACACAATGCCAGTGTAAGCTGTAGTTGAGTAAGCCAACTTCAGAGAAAATTAAGCCTTATGTTAATTACCAGCAGGGTGTCTTTACCAAGCTTTACTGAGCTTCACTGAGCTTACCGAGATTTCAGGAAATCACCTTGAGCGCTATTAATGTTTTTGTCACTTTTGTTGATGTGCAATCAAGAGATCCATTATTTTTCTGACTTTAATAAAATGTGACCCAGTCCCCCGAGCATGGAGTATGTAAGTAAAGACTGTCATCCCTTAACAGTCATGCCAAAAGGCTGCCAGTGATAATCAATGCTCGGCATGATGATTATCGCAGACAGTATAAATTATGCTGATTATGGAAACTCAGGTAAGCAACCGGCTTACACAAAGCTCCAGTTTGTTTGGCAAGAGCCTCTGATCCAAACAACTTCAAGTTAATCCTTGAAGCATCGACGCGACCGTGACAACTCGGGAGTTTGACGACTTCGGTTTGAATAATGCTACTGCAATGGTGCACGCTCAGTCCTGCAGGCCCATCCAAGCTCTCTGCTATTAGATTTTCGTCACCAAGCAGAGTGCACTCGATCAAGATATTTCCCACAAACGTGCAGCCTTTTGGTCAGTGTCCAGACATCATCGCGTAAGTGCAACTATTTCTGATCATGCCGCGTGACATAGAAATAACCATATGGTTAGCCGCACAGAACCAGAAGCCTTCTTTCTTGATGTATATTTCAATGCCCACCCTGTGGGGTCATCGGTGGACGCGAAGCAAAAGCTCAAGGCACCTAATGCGCTCATGCCAACCGTCATCCCATATGCAGGCGGTATAGTGGAATATGCAGTGAATATGGGCTCTGAGGTACTTCAAGTCATATCTATATCTGTGTTTTCCAACTAAACTCTCAGTTCGCGACTCGTTTAATGATTGTACGTGGAGATTTTGAAACAGTATCAATGGCAATATACGGCGATGTTGTTTCAGATAGCCCACCCAAGTCAATTGCCTATTCTCCTCTTTCCCTACTTGCCCATACATCTGTTCCCCTCGTGCCTGCCTTAGACGCTGCAAAGAGTAACGACCCAACTGCTCTTGCGAGGAATCTGCTGGCACTCATTCCCAGTGCGCCCCCCCTTTCCCTTGTCATACGCCTTATGTTCTGCCTCAAGCAACCTAATGATGACTGGGAGCTCCCGGAGTTTCCGCATCTTTACTCCGACCTGAACGAGGAAGAAATGGATATCGATTTAGATACTGCATTCCGATCCTTGAGTCGGCCTTTGGTGGATGACATTTCATCAGAGCAATTGCATAGTTTCGCCAAGAAAGTCTCAGAGGCTGTCGGTCCCAGGGTGCGTCTTCTGAAATCAATGCCCATCTAAACCCATCAACTCGTTTCGTAGGATGATTCACAGTCGTATCTCATTGCAGGCATTCTTTCTCGCTCTGCTTCGCAGACTCCTGAATTTGCACAAGCTTTGATGGTAGGTCAATTCTTAGGTGCGCGATACTTGTTTTCATACCCTCGCAGCAAGCACTCGAACTCGAAACGATATTTGACCCATCAACCTTGGATGAAGATGCTCTATTCACACTTCTGGATGCGTGCACAAATCCCGATATATCGCGGTTGTTGAAGGCGTCGTGGTTTCTCAATGTCCTACGAGCTGTCCTTGCGCTGCCAACGGTGACCCCCGACATGAAGAAGGCTTGTCGGCGGTTAAGCGATCGGGTAGGATCGTGGACAGTCTTTGAACAAGCGCTGTCCGGCGTTCCAGATGCAGATTACACCAGGGCAGCGCTGTTTCTAAAGGACATCGGAAAGGAAGAAAAGAGTTTTGGAATATGGTTGTCGTGTATCACCACTCATGAGGACCTTCTTGCGAAGATCAGAGATGCACCGGTATACGAGGGCGTGTATCCGCTAGATTTGATGTCTGGCTTGAGCCCCTCTGAGGACATAACACATTCGGAGTTCATGGCGTTCGTTAGGGCGTATGTTGGAGTTGCTTCAGTGCTAGCTGTGTACGCCTGGTCGGACAGCCTTCCAAATTTACATTGTCGTGAGCGCACTCTGGGTGTTTTGCGCTTGTGGCAGGAAATTCCTGGATATCGTGCGGTAAGCCATACCTATCATTACTTTGCCCAACATCTGACGAGTGTATCAGATCATTTCCCCCCTCCTACTCCTCCCCCAGATGATCTTCCGCCTGGAATGCATGACATCCGGGAATGACCCACCCATAACTGCAGGGATCAACGCCGAGTCCCTCCTCTACGCACTTGCAGCCAACCCACAAAGTTTCCTCAATCCTGATTTTATTCGCTGCGTGAGGAGCTGGGAACCATGGAGCCTAACATGGATCAACGAGCGAGAACGAGCAGACATAGAGCGCGCCGCCAAAATTGCAGATGAAGGCGTTGGTGGGGCTGTAGAGGAACTCGTTGGGTTCGCAAAAGAGGGTCCCGACGCAATTTTGGATCAAGGCAGAATACGGGCACTCAGGGTTGCTGTGGCTGTCGTCATACACACGCTGGAGGATAACACTGAGAGCGGAACCAAATGTGGCGACTGGACGGTGTTGGAGGCTGTATGGGGTGAACATCTGCATGGACTTTTGAATTATGCCATCGATGTGTTTACTCGTATCAGCGCGGAGGTGAAGCAAGGGTTCTCGTTAACGCCCTCTCCATTACCTACGATTGGTCTTGAACCGCTCTTGCTCGTCACAAATGAGAGCCTCCACCTCATTGCGAGCTTACATGCGCTCTCCATTACGACAAGCCGTGTAGTCCGGATGCTCGTAAGCGGCGTGTTGGACATGTACAGCTGCGCTGATGTCGCGTCCCACGAATCTGTCGCGAACAACGCAGTACGGGACGCCGCACTTCTTGTCAAACATGCGTGTGCCAACGTACTCTGTGCGTTTTCAAGGAGCTCGCAAGATCAGCCCAAGTGCGGCCTATCCGTAGTCCTCCGCGCGCTCTTGGAACAGGGGCTCCATTTTGATAATGTCGATCCTGCGAAAAGGATTTTGAGTGCTTTTTATCTGGTTCTTCAAGTTCTAGCAGACGATGGGGATGCCCTACCTGTGGGCTGGATGCCCATTGTCATTCCACAAATTCTAAATCCTCTCACACTCTTCTTCCGTCATCTCGAACCCATGCACAAGGTCCAGTTGGTCCAGCGACTCGTCAGCCTCGATCGGGGTGTGTTAGGGCTGGGTGACTTCCTCGTCCAAGGGGAGGTGAAGAGACTTGCCGGTCTTCTAAAGGTGATGGCCGAGAGAGGGGTTGTGACGCAATGGGAAGTGGGCGCGGGACTCGAATTTGTGGCAGGGCTTATGGAAGGTGAAGACGGAGACTGGTGTATATCTGCATTACACCAATCGGAGTGGGGAACCGTCATGACCGGCTTACTTGAAGCTGACCTTTACTCAAGACATCTTGGAATGATTGCTGGGCGGTTGGCTGAGAACCCAGAGTCTCTAGGGATTGAGCTCAGGCTTTCTGTCGTTGCTGCACTCTTGCGCGGGGTGCAGGTGCAAGAGCCGAGCGTTCGCAGGATGAACGCCTTTGGCTTGATCTCTGCTGTCCTCGAGACGACTGACGAGAAAGACAGGGACCCCGAGCGGCTGCTTTGGGAAGTAGGACATGCACTCGGCGCAATTGTAGAATCAAACGATGACCTCTCTTCCCTCGACTCCGAGAGCGTCGTCAACACACTCCTACTCCTCGATTCTCCCTCCCAACCCGATCTTCACGGACTCACCTCCGAGCAATGGGTCAAGCTCTACACCCATTTGGAAACATCGTTACCACCCAATATGCTTTCCATGCTCCTCATCATCAAAGGCTTCCACCCCTCCCCATCCACACCACCAACGATCTCATTCCTCCCATCAACCCTCACGCTCCCCCTTTACGACCTGGTTTCCCTCCTTCAACCACCAGCACCCCTACCCAGTACCCCACCACCAAAGCGCAAATCACCCAGCCAAGACGTCCTAGGTCTCGTCGCTATTTCCCCACCAACTGCAGTGCTGCGCTCGCCAGCTGTTACAGGTCTCACAAAGACGTATACACGAAATGATTTCCGTGAGTTGCGGCAGTTACCGAGTGCGAGGCAGAATACGAGTAGGTTACCGAGTATGCATGTTGATGTGGGTTTCTTTTTACTTTGTTTTAATGTTCAAATATCTAACCACCGCATACAGGATTTCCTCCAGGTCGAAATGTCATCTTCACCACTCGTTCAGCCTGTGGTGCCTTCGGGGGATATGCTGAATCTTTCCCCCTCGTTTAATATGGGACAAGAGAATGGATACATATAGAATTTGGGAATGTTTTTGTTGTCGTCAGTGTTGTCCTAGTTGCTTTGGATTCGAGTCGGATCATATTGCGTGCGTACATATTGTTGTTCTTTGTTCTTGGAATGTAAGGTGTAAGATAAGATATGTCTGTATATTACAATGCTACAAGCCCATGCACTGCCATAATAAATCATCATCGTGAATCAAGTCAAGTCGCAGAATTAATCAATAAATCTAGCGTGGACGCCGTCTTCGAACGTCATGACAGGAGGGGCGCGGTAGATCTGAGGCTGGAGATAGGGATGATGGTGGTGGCGAGCGGAAATATCGATCCATATCAGATTGATCGAATTCTGATGGAGGCACAGGTGACAACGGCAATTCCAGTTCCAGTTTTGATGACGACTTGATAGCCGTTGCTACTGGGTTCGGTGCAACATCCACCTTCGCCCTCCCACTCCCAATCCTATACATCCTCTTCCTCCTCGCCTTAACACCGGGTCTCTCACCCACCACCTGCTCCTTACTCACTGTCCTCGGAGGAACGCTCCGCACCGTGAAATGAGCGAGCGGGCGCGTATAAGGCGATAATGTGTGGTTCGACTGGGATAGGGTGCTTAGTTGGGAGATGGTGTTGTTGAGGGCGGGGCGGAGGATGACGGGGTCCGGATCCGGGTTTGTGAAGTGCGTGTGCGTCGTGCTCCAGGTATCGAAGTGGTTTATATTAGAGGAGGAAGAAAGGGAAAGGGAGAAGCGGCGGGAGGAAAGGGAGGATTTGAGGGATGTTTCTGCATCAGTGTCTGGGTTTGTGGCTGTATCTTGGGGTGCAATGGAAGAAGGTGGGGTGTCGATGACACCGCTGCTCGAGGAGAATTGAGTTTCGAGGCTAGAGGGAGTGATGGGGCGGGGTGGGTGGGATTGGGTAGGGATATCGTACCCGGGCTCTGATCGTGTGTAGTGGCCCGGTACGCCATAGAGTGCAGGCGTAACAGGAAAATACGGGTTGAAACTAGAATGCGACCGATGAAAGGATAAGCGTGTGGGTTGTGATGGACGAGACTGGGGGTCTGAGCGGACAGAAGATGCATCCGGCAAACGGGATGTTTTTGAAGGAGTCTGGATCATGGATTGGGCATGGTATACTCGCGGACGGGTAATAGTGCCACCACCCACTGCAGGCAGCGTTTCGTATTCTACGACAGGCTCTTCAACGATGGTTGGGGGTGGTGAATACCCGGCTACTGAATCTTCCCAGTCGACAACATCGAATGAACCCTGCTCTTCTTCGCCTTCATCTTCTTCGGGCTCTTCAGTAAGGTCTCCAAGACCCATGTTACGCGTGAAGAGGCGGCTGAAGGATGAGAAGATACTCTTTGTTGGAAGCCCCTCTGGACGGAGACCGTATGTTGGGTCAAATATTTCTTGCTCGGGATTGGAGGGAGATGGGTCTAATACTGGCAGACTCGTGTGAGAGGGAGTGGGACAAGTTCGGATACTTCTACGGGTCGAGCTTGATACTGAAGCACCTGATATCGAGCGTGCACGACCGTAAGAAATAGAGCCAAGGGATTGTTGGCGGTGCATGTGTAACCCGATACCAGAGAAGCCAGGTGACATATAAGCGAGATCAGGTGCAGAAACGACGTCGAAAGCTCGGCGCCGCGATGTAGGTGCCTGCTTGTTGAGATACGGTGCCTCCACTTTAGCTTTTACCCACTGTTGACTGAGACGATGTATGATTCCTGGTAGATCCTCCCTGAACATCTGCCTAAGCTGGCCTTCAATCTCGCGTTGGATGAACTTTTGGATTACGGCGATGGAGTCGAATGTGCTATTTATATCTACGTTCTGGAGGGGGTCCGTCTTGAATACGAGTGTGATGCCCTTTTGCTTTGAGACGACTAGGACGACATAGGAGTTGAGTTTGAAATGGGAGAGACGGAGGAGCATTGGAACTACGAGAGGGTCTTTGGCAGCCAGCATGCCACGAGAGCCTGTCATTATATGTATATCGGGCTGCTTGTGATTCAAGGGATTCACCTGATAAAGATATTAAGAACGAGGAGGATACAAGTAGCAGCACAAAATACCTGCACTTTGGTCTTGAGTACGATATGTGCATCTCCTGCATAAGTGAAACGAAATATGCCGCGAAAGTGGTCCATTGTCAAGTCGCCAATATCCCGAATTTCGAGTTCTGGTGGCTGTCAGGTGGCATGAGGAGTGATACACGATGAAGTTTGGAGCGTGCAAAACTCACTTGTGTTCCCATTTCAAGTTCTACGACTTCAATCTTGTCAGCAATGACTGGCGGTTTGTTGCCCTTGTTGAGGGCGTTATTGAGCATCTGGATAGCATCTGTGTGAAACTGGTCGGAAAAGCGTGGCCATTCAAAGGTGAACGACATTTCTGTGCGTTGACTGCTATGATTTTCCAGCTAACCAGCATTCAAAGATTTGAAGGTAGGTCAAAACCAGGTGGGCGTCAGACTCTGATGTGCATTTTTTGGATGACTATAAGTTGGAGATGGCCATGAATGCACGTAAAGGAACGGCTCGGTCACGGAAGCAATACCGAAACTTGCTCCCCTAACTAAGACATGTTTAGTAAAGTAATACTGAATTCAACAGCAACGAACACCAGGCTGCAGACAGCCAGTTATAGCCTGGAGGGGCCCCTACCATGATCGTGTTTCGTACTATTTTTTTCACATCATTTAGACTCGTAGTAATAGTTTTTAATTGATTTTTGGGCGCGGTATAGCACGGTAGCAGAGTTCAGACCTCTCTCGTTTGAACGTTGACTGACTCAGATAGCACAACTTGTTATCCAACTCTAAGTTTTGAATGATCAATGGACTACATTCGGGAAGCGAATCAAAGATGTGTCCGAAATCGAACGGTTCCGTGAACTTTCGACTCTAAATGGCTTAGCGCTACAAGCTACAGCCTACGGAAGGACTATAGTTGACAATGATGGAGATATACCACGAAAAGATTAACCCGGATTTTAGTTCTAGACCGCATTCCAAGTTTCTAGCGGAAGCTGCGGACCCGAGTCCCTCGCTTGCGATGGGTTGTTTGTCAAGGTTTGTCCTAATCTTCTGAATTCAACAATTATAAACAACCACCCCGGAACAATCCCTAATGAACGAACACCGGATTTCCCAAGGCTTGCTGGCCAGTTGCGCACTGCTCTCTGCAGGCAGGCCAGTCTGCAAATTATACTACAAATGAATGGCGTTCGCAAACTTTGGGGAGGTGGAAGCTCGTCTACCAGTTCACCAACAGCACAAACACCTGCACCAGCAACACCTGTGACACCTATCGCCAGCACCATCAACCCTGCCCTCTTCCGAAGGTTCTCCTCTTACGACAACCCCGGGACTTTTCATCAAGAAAAACAAGAAGCAGTCATCACTAGCATCTATCACTGACGCTGGGAACGGTAACGACGTCAACGGCTCAGACCGTTCGATATCACCTGCTTCATCCCGAGTCACTTCCCCTTTACGGAAACCAGTCCCAACTCCAACTCCAACCCCAGTCCCAGGTCCCTCATCTCCAAGAATTTTACCCCCCTTACAACCAAGAACGTCTACCGCTTCAGGATGGAAACGCACCTCAGGATTACTCAATATAAGAGACGACCTCCTCATGAGTCTTCTCACAAGCGAAGCAGTCGTAGAAAGCCGTGAATGTGAGATCTTGAGCGGAGAAGAAGTCGAAGAACTCAAAAAGGTTCGATTTTCATTCACTCGATTTGCGCCTTTATATTTAATTTAAATAAACCGTCCCTTTAGGAACAACAAATTCTCAAGATTCGAGTCACTGCAGCACAGAGAAAGCTCAAGTTGGAAACAAAGATCCGTGATGCAGCTCTATCTCTTTCAAAAGTGAACACTGCGCACAAGAGAGTATCAAAAGCCACAGACGACCAGCTAGATGCTGCAGAACGTAGAGTCAACACTGCGCAGATGGAGTTATGGCGCGTTTCAGAACGAGCAAACGAAGTCGAACGAAAGCTTTTGGAACATCGTGCAGGCGTGCTTGGTTTCTCTGTCTCCAAGATGGAGAGAAAAATGATGCCTAGTGGGGATGCATCGGGTATGAACACGCCAAGTAGGAGTTCGGTCTCTAGCCCCGTTGCAACTACCTCTCCACCACCGAGAGCGCGATTCGATGGTGCACACCTATTTGCAGGCCACGCCGACGCAGCAAATACCCAAAGCCCCACCATCCGTCAATGACGTCGTCACGCTCGAAAACAAGCTCCGCGCTGCAACTGAAGCCCTCAGCATCGCGAACCAGAAACAAGCCTGAGATGGCGCGTGAATTATCTCACCTCCGTCTCGAGAAGGAACAGGTTGAAACGACGATGGGTATGGAACTTCAGACTGCTGAGGAAACTGTTGCTGCACTAGAGCAAGAATTTCCGCGTCTCGAGGAACTGAATGCGAAATGTCAGGAATTACTCGAGGAACGTGCACAGTGGGAAAAGGACAAAACTCAGTTGGCTGCAAGGGAGAAGGAGGTGGAGAGGTTGGAGAGGCGATTGGAGGTCTTGGAGGAGCAGAGCAGGCGAAGCGACTGAAATGGAACGTGCACTCTCGGACGTACAGGCACAGTGTGATGCGGAACTGCAGAAAAAGGATGAGGAAATCGCAGCGCTGAAGGCGGAGTGGGAGGATGCCAAAGAGGAATGGGAGGCAGAGAAAGCTGTGATGGAGGAAGATAAACTTGCAGAGCTTGGTGCCCTCCAGGATGAGCTCGAGGATGCAAGAGAGGAATGGGAGGCTGAGAGAACTGTGCTGGACGAGAATAAATCCACAGAGCTTGCCTGCACTGCAGGATGAACTGGATAATGCGAGGGCTGATGGTGAAGCACGAGCAGAGTTGGATGAGGCTATCGAGGCACTTCAGGACGGTCATGCAGCTGCATGGTATCCAGACTTCCCCCGATACGTCCTTGCAGGGTCTGCTTGCCTCAGTCGCGTCTCATCTTGAAACGTTGTCAGCTGCGTTGCAGGGGCATAGTGATAGACATGCACGCTTTGGAGATGAGTTGCGAGTGCACATGGAGGAGAACGAGACTCTCTTAAAGGACCTGGATGCCGTTCGCTTGGAAAGGGATAACGCACAACTTGAAGTCCAATCCCTTGAGTCACGAGTCAAGGTAACATTGCATTATTTCCCTGCATAAAAGCACTCATCCCAACCCTAGGAACTCTCCGATGCCTCGTCAACACCCTCCGAACCCCCAGTCGAATACACAGGCGAAGCAGCAGACATCATCGCTATTCTTCAACCCATCTGGAACATCCTCCCCGCGCCCGAACTTCGCGCCGCGAAACTCAGCAGCAAACGACACCTCCGAAACCCTTCCATGATCTCAAATCCTGGCAGATCATCGCCATTGCCATCACCATCCAAATCCACTCTTTCTGACACGGACGTACGCGCACTCAAAACTCTTTATGATGTCCGCCCCCAACTTCCTCCTACCCCTACTTCAGCAACTAGTCCTTCACCCCAAAAGCAGAGTAGAGGCACATTCAGCGTCGAAGCATTTGTCTCGCGCGTTCAAGCGCTTATCATAGACGATCGAGCATTAATCGAAAGACTGATACGATTCGCCCAAGCACACGACCTCCTCAAGAAGAACGCAGAACGCGCTCAAAAACTCGCACAAGAGAGTAATACAGCGCTAGAGACGTACCAGCGGCAGGTATCGACGCTTGAGCGGCAGAATACCTCTTTGGTGTCGAAGCAAAATGCCTTGTGAGTCTTTATTCACTAATCTGAGTTCGAGTGGATTTTTGAACGGTTTTTGTTTGGGGTAGGATGGACGAGATACGTGAAGCTACAGGACGCTATTGAACGTGCGGTCTGTGAGGCCCGCGAGATGGAGATGCATGCTGCGGATCAAGCGGAGACGTGTCGACAGCTCACGGAGGCTAATAGCTCGTTGAGCGCCAAGATGCTTACGCTTGCCTGAAGAAGCTGCTTCTGCGCCTGAGAAGGTGCGCAAGCAACTTGAAGGTCAACTTACCGAGTGCACGGAGGCTTTGCGGCAGGCGACAGAGGAGATAAATGATATGAGGATGTCGGAGCAGACGCAGAGGATTGCGTTGTTGGATGAGCTTAATTCGGTTCAGACGGAGAATGGGAATTTGAGGGCGCAGTTGAGGGCGAAGAGATAAGTAGGTTGGGTTGGGTTTGTGGTATGCATATCTATCATAGTGTATGAATTGATGTGTTTTGTTAAGTCTGTAAATTTCTCGACATAAGTACATGTAGATATAGTTCAACCTGAAATTCTCGTTCGGTAAATGCGCTAACTTGTATCCAACATAATTTGTATTGTTATACCTTATCGAACCAAACCTCAGCTCTGTCTTTCACACTCGTGTGCGTTCGCTCCCTCTCTGTGAGTTCACCCAGCATCCCAATCACGCCAAACCCAACAATCTCTCCGTCCTCCACGACAAATTCTGCCATAGCCTCGGTCGTCACTATTTCCGCTGTCTCAAAAGGTGTGCTGTCGCGCCCATATCCTTCCGGGAACAACGAGGTGTACTGAACCACGAACGTATTCCCAGACCGATGCACGCCTCGAATATGAGATGACCATATGCGAGGCCATGCTGCGAACAGTTGAGGCGACTGGGGAGCGAACCGCGCTACTCAAGGTCAGGTCGATTCCTATATCTCCTAGTATTCTTCCGACGTTCCATTTCTGCACGGTCGAGATGGAGGGTCCAATGGGAGTATGCATCGCAAAGAAGTTCCTCATTCCGGCAACAAAGGATAGGCATCGGCATGAGCTCCCGGACATCATTTGCAGCCCTGTGTCCACGAGTTCGATTGTCTTGGGAGAAAGGGAGTGGGAAGTGATGCGATGAAAAGTCAAATGTCGTCGAAACTTCTGGACCGGCAACTACACATGAGACGTGCTCAAGCTCAGACAGGATATTGTAAAACTCCAGGAAGAGAAGTCGAGCCCAAGAGGAAGCATCTTCATGCTTTCCCTCAAACCAGAACGTCAGCCTCTTTAAATTTGGTATGCGTTTTAGCATGACTCGCAAATGTACTACCCAGTCCCTGAATTCTAAACCCGAAGATGGGTCAAGATCCTATATGGCTGTGAATCACGACCCGCTGTAGATTAACAAGTATCGCTGACCTGAGTAGCAAAGCCTGTCAGGGTGACTTCTTCAACATGCTTTGAAATTAATGGGTGTTGAAAATTATTATATGGGGACCATTGCACGAGGTCCAATCCCAGATTCCTGATACTAGTAGAGGGGCCGACAATCCTCTTGAGGGCCCAGTCCCTTGTATCTGTACATACATGTTCACCTTTCAAATGCATGGTGTGAACTGGGCGACCAGGTATAAGGACATTCAATAAAAGAGGTACAGCAGAGACTTCGTTTAGATGTGGCAGAGATGTGGGAGGAATTAATTTTTGCAGCCCCTGAGAGTCTTTAAGACAGACGCCTGCTGTGCACACAGTAGTGATAACGAGATTACGGATGCTGTCCTGCCTATTCAAGAAGCTTATGAATTGAGAGTCGAGAGTATATGTGCAATGAAAGACATGAAGCTTGGCATCACAGTATGGAAGGACAGATGAGTAGCACTTTTGAGAATGGATAAGCTTGAGCGTGGAGAGGCAAGTCATATTTTTGAGAGCCAGTGTGAGATTATCCAGGTGCACCTCGGGACCATCATAGACCATGATTGTTGGATATGTAAATATGAAAGATTTGACTTTCTCTGCAAGATCTGGATGCTCTGCAAGTGTGGTGCAGACATCCGAGTTGTCAACTGTGATGGACTTGTACAGAGAGTCAACTACTGCATGATGAAAGCAGGTGCATACTAGACAGAGTGTGGCAAGATCATTTGAGGAAAATTTGAAAGCTTTGGTGAAAGAGAAAATGATAAGCCACAGCTCAACAGGTAGGTTGTTGGTTGCCATGAAGTGAGGATGAAGGATTACATAATAACAACATGCACCCTAAGATAGGTATCACTTTTATCCAACACCCTTACATAATCGTAACCCTAACCCTAAAAATGGCCAAACCTTTGCCTTGAAAATTTTCCAAAGATGAAATTAAGAGACATCAGTAAAACACCAACTTACTTTGTCAGAAATTCCTTATTTCAACGGATTGCAACTGGTTTCAAGGTCCAAATGCACTGCATGCCTTTAAATAGGTTGCCATAATAGAGTCATGGTTTTAGCATGATCACAACATAATTTCAATGTGATTACAATGTAATTGTTATTGTTATTTAAATGGACTTGAACATTTGAACCTCCCATTTTTATTCCATTTAAATGACTGTTGCAAGCACTATAGTGATCATTTTAAGTTCATTGTCTTTTGTGCAAGGAACTGGCAGGCATGAAACGGACGAGGGCAAAAATGTTCTATAATGAATGTATGTAAATACTCAGTCTCTAGAGTTGAAGACTGAGGTGTGAAGTAATAATAAAACTTCTAATAAGTGCATGGTGTATTATGTAAGTGAGTGTTGTTTGTTGTTGTCCAGATTAATATCATCACTTATCTATGACCTTACAACATGCCCACTCAACAAGTCAACCCTTGCTGTCCACCACTCTCATCCCTTCACTAAACCATTTGTGTTTCTCATGTGCAAGCACCTTTGTCAAGACATTGGCAATTTGCTCATTTGTGGGAATGTATTCAACACATATCTCGCCTTCCTCCAACTTCTCTTGAAAGAAATGGTACTGGATTGTGATGTGCTTTGTGCATTCGTAGAACACTGAATTGCTGGCTAGGAGGATGGCAGATTGGTTGTCTATATGGAGGGTTATTGGGTGAGTCTTTCATAAATTAAATTCTCCTAGTAGAGTCCTTAACCAGACAGCTTCATTTGTGGCAGCAGCAGCAGCCATGTATTCTGCCTTGGTACTGGACAGTGTGACTGAACTTTGCTTCTTCAAACTCCAACTAACCGCTCCTCCAGATATCAAAAATATATATTGGGTTATTGAACACCAGTCATTGACATCTGAGGCCCAGTCTGCATCAATGAATACATGTAGGTCTGTCTCTGATTTTTCTTGATATGTTAAACACTTATTAATAGTGACACATAGGTTCCGATAGACATGCTTTAAAGTGGTCCAGTGTGTTTGTCCGGGTGTTGCAGCAAACTTGCTAAGGGTACCTACTGCGAACACAATGTCCAGACATGTTGCAAGCATTGCATACATCAGTGTGCCTAGGACACTTTGGTAAGTCTTTTCGTCAACTTCAGCTTCATTCACTTTGATGAGCTCCTTTTAGTGCTTGCGTCGGTACACAATTTCGTAGATAGGCAGCATGTGCTACTGCCTCTGCCCATAAGAATTCAGGTAAGTCTCTGGCTATTATCATCGCATGAGCTAATTCAGTTAGAATTTGGTTGAATCTCTCAGAGATGCCATTTTGCTCTGGTGAGTATGGGGCAGTCATCTGGATTTCAATCCCTCTGTCTTTACACCATGTAAGTAGCTCATTATTGATGTATTCTTTGCTGTTATCAATGCAGACCTTTTTAGGTCTATTCTTGCAGCATCTTTCAAGGTAGGTAAAGTATTGTTTCATTTTAGAGTCTGTTTGGCCACCATTATTTATGCAAGTTCATTCACAAATTTGCTTTAGTAATCTTTGGAGCTTGAATGTCTTGTCACGCTTTGACCACAGCCTTAGCATCAATATCCTTATCATCAATACAATGCCTGACGATCCTGATTGCGATACAGACACTCTTGCGAACGACTATGATCCTGTTGAGGTGGAGGATATGGATGATGGATCTGGTGATGTGGAGGAGAGTGATAAGAGGTATCTGTCATGTATCATGCAGATGGCCATGCATGCTATGCGCACGGTCATTACAGTCCTCAACGCAACAACTACCACACTTGAAGCTTACTCAAACACCTACTACAACAAAGAGCCGTATCACACCTCTGCTTTGTCGGGGACTGCTTGGGTCACAGAACTTCTCACTGGACACCCTGAATGTATCAGATGTGAGCTTGGGGTCCACAAGCATGTTTTCTATGTGCTTATCAACCTCCTTCTGTTACAATAACATTTACTCCTATTTCATTTTTCTTTTCCTGTAACCATGCCGCCGACTCTAGACCCATCTAGACTCGGCTATTCTCTTATCAAGCGGGCTGTCCGCACTTCTCTTCTTTCTGATTGTAACAGAGATACTATCTTGCGCCGCATGGCGGTTTCACCTATCTTTACTATCTTGATAGGTTGTACTCTTTTTCCTATCTCTGTTACTTTTCTTGTCGCGGCTACGCCGTCTCCTTTTACCTATATAAACCCCATGTACCATAGACGTATTCCTTAACTTAATCTACTGGGTTTTCCCCTTGAAACCTGATCTACTAAGGTCTCCACCCTTAGTAGCCTGAACTCTGATTCTAAGACAGTCACTCACTGTCTTAGCCTGAAACCCTTGATTGCGGTAGAAGTGCTAAAACCACTCACCGCCTAGGCAGAAGTGCTAAAACCACTCGCCGCTGATCCTGCATAGAAGCCGCGGCTCGTGCAGTAGGAACTACCAGAAACCTTCCTTGTATTAGGAAGGCCGACGAACTGTTCGCCTGACAGGTCTATCTTGACCGGCAACAGCAGAACTATCCCAGTCGTAACAAAAGATTAAGTTCCTCACCCAGTACCTGTTTTCCAACAGTACTTTGACACCATTGATTCGATAACCGCGAACATCCTTGCCGCTGCATTCGGAAACATGTCGGGACATTCCGCATCATCCAGTGCCACCGCTGCCGCAGCAGCAGCAGCCTACAGACCGGTTGAAATTAAAATCGGAACCCCACCGACCTTTGATGGCAACGAGAAGAACGCAAAAAGCTTTTTGCTCTCGGTCGCCGCCTACCTTGACATCAACAGTGACATCTATGACACTGACAAGAAATGCATCATTTTCGCCACATCTTTCATGAATGAAAAGACGGCGCTGACATGGAAGGAGGACTTCCTGACTCTAGCTCAAGACACCACGAGGCTAGACAAGAACAAGCAACCCATTGGGTATGGAACGTGGGAAGACTTCAAGAAAGCTTTCCTCAAAGCATTCACCACAGGAGAAGCAGCCACCGAAGCGTGGATCAAGCTGAGGACCTTCAAGCAAGAAGGGTCCTTAGAAGAATATATCGCAGAGATTAGACATCTCTTCCAGCTTACCAGCTTGACGGATGAAGGATCTAGGGTCCACTTCTTTACCGCCGGATTGAAATTCGGAATTGCCAATGCTATCTACAGAGCAGGCAATATCTCGAAAGACTTCGAAGGAATGGTCAATACGGCCAGAGAGATGGATAACGCCTATCAGCAGATCATAGCGCTCAGGCCCAAGAACCACAACCAAGGCCAGAAGAAGAAGAACCGGTTTGGACCTGAAAGGTACCAACCGCGAGGAGACAGAGACTCCATGGAGGTCGACCGCCTCTCAGAGAAAGAAAGGGCCGAACATATGAGAGCAGGCAAATGCTTCATATGCCACCAGACTGGCCACAGAGCCAACGATAGGGAACATCACCCAAGAGAGAAGAAGCCGGCCCGTGAGGCCAAGCATAAGGAAGAAGAATCTGACGATGAAACTATGGATACCCGTAGGATGACTAAGAAGGGGGATTTTTAGAATGGAGGTCTGTATCGACGCCAGTCCCTCCCATCCCAGTTCGCACTGTACATCATGTTGGTAATAAAGAAGAGTTACGTGTCCCTGCCACTCTCCTCCCAACTAAACGTGCGAAACCAGTCGAAACCACCGTAGTCATCGATTCCGGCGCCGCCGGATCATTCATCAGCACCGAATTCATCGACTATCACGGAATTCGGACCAAGAAACTCTCGAAACCCTTTCACCATGGTCACCGCCTGACGGTAGTGACTGCCGTGGCGGAAAGATTAGAGAATATGTCGAACTCGGCATCAAGATTGACAAGCGGGTCATGTATGGAAAATTCAACGTGACCAAGCTTCGAACCAAGGACAACATTCTCCTTGGATTCCCCTGGCTGAAAGCCATGAACCCAGACATCAACTGGGCAGAAAACTGTCTCACCCTCAACGAGACCCCGAGATCTAGAGAAGTAGAACTCTGGATAGACCAAGAAAGGAAGGACGCAGGCTTCAAGCCGCTCTTCAAACCGAAGCCTTACCCCAGGAAGGCCCCCAAGAATATCTTGCACCCCAAGAAGGTGCCTATCAAAGAACCAGCGACCCCCAAGAAGGCGCTGAATCCCGAAACCCCGACTTCAAGAAAGTCTCCATTGCTTCTGAGCCTACCCGCCAGAAGAAAGAAGAATTCCGTGCCTCCATCGAGGAGATCCCCGATGAAGATGAACCTATCCCGCACCTGAACCCTGACCCAGACGAAGAAGATGAGGGATTAGAAATCCCTGAACTTCGATCAGAAGCATGACGCTTGGATAAAGGATAACTTC